ACTGTATAAAACCGATACGCTAGAGAAGCTTATTTCAATCTTCTTTTATTATTATTGGTATTATTATTGTTATTATTATTATTAGTATTATTATTATTGTCTTTTATTCTAGTAATATATTATAATAATAATTATTATATTGTTATTGTTATTATTATTATTACTAATTACTATTTACTAATTACTATTTTACTATAACTACAAACTGCAACACAACTACCCAAGAGAAACCTTTCCCATGAAAAATATTGAGCGTGGAATCGTCGACGAGGAACCAAGAACCTGCTTAGCCCGCCACATATATTAAATTATAAAAAAAATTAAAATAATAATATTTAAAAAAAAGTAAAAAAAAAAAATTAAAAAAAAAAGGAATAAAAATAAAGAGCGCGAGGAAATCATTGAATGATTAAAAAAAAACGAAGAAAAAGAAAAGGTGGAAAATATAAAAACGAAGACGACGACACAAAAAAAAAAGAAAAGAAAAGAAAAGAAAAGAAAAGAAAAGAAAAGAAAGGAAAATAATGAACGATGTTTTATTAATATTGTAAATATTTTAAATAATTGAAGACGCGGACAAAACAACAGGATCGTGCGTGAAACGGTGACCCGACGCTTTAGAAGGGCCGCCGCCTCCTTTTGGGTACGGGTCTCCTTGTACTCTTTTTCTGTTTTTCCTTTTTAGCGCCGCATTACGGAACAAATTGCATACACATCAATTAAAAATACGTACATGTGTACACGTACACATATACCTGCCCCCCCCCCCACCACCACATACACAAAATGATAAGATTTACATGTAATACATGAAAACTAATGAACATATATATATATACACACAAACAAACACACACATTTACACACTCCTACGAGAATAGAATACAGAGTTAATAAAAAAAAAAAAAAACAAAACACTGCTCTGTCGATCAAATATATCTTCTAATTGATGATTCCTTTCATATTGATTATTCTATAAGTTCCGTTTTCACACATGAAATACATTAAGGATGAAGCGAGAGACATTGTCCAACCCAAGTGTCATTACTTTTGATGTTAAATAAAAAATACATAATTAACCAGTGTTTTTATTTTTCAATAAACCATCTAAAACTATTATTCGATTATTCTATATCAGAGTTTGAAAAACGGCAAAGATTATAGAAGTACATAAAAGCTTTATAAGTCCCTTTTTTATCTACCCAGATTCATCTTAGATACTACTAACGGGATCATCAGTGGGCGATAGTAGGTACTCAAAGCAATAACGATAAAAAACTATCACAGAATAGTGTATTCTCTCTTTGATAGTATAAATAATAGAGTTTCACTGTAATAGAATTTGAAATAATTCTTTTTAATTTTTAATGTATAAACATGTGCGTGCCTTCAGAAATGCATTTATACATATATTTAAAAAAGTAGTCATTTAAGGCGTTCAAATGGAAAAAAAATCTGCAAGGTTTATATAGTTTTCTTCTTGTTACAGGTGATCATCGTTGGATTTAACAACAAACCTTGCAGATTTTTTTTCCATTTGAACGCCTTAAATGACTACTTTTTTAAATATATGTATAAATGCATTTCTGAAGGCACGCACATGTTTATACATTAAAAATTAAAAAGAATTATTTAAAATTCTATTACAATTTAAATATACTATATATACTATATTGTATATTCTAATACATTTGTCTTATGATATTTAAGTTAATACTGATATATTACTGTTAGTCCTGGTTGTAAAATTTTTAACAGAATTTTTTTATCAGTTATACTACTATTGGGTTAGTCAAGAATTCTTATTGCATATATGATATATTTTTTGCTATGCGTACATCATAAAAATACATACATTTAATCTTAAGAACTAGTTTCTTAATTTTTAATAAATATACCTACAAATTTATAATTCCGCATCCGTAACTTTCCATTTTGTTTGTTCCATTTGCGGTCTAGATTTACGTAAAGCCTTCTTTCGTAATTTTGTAATATGCGTCTGTAGTTTTCCTGAACTTTTTAATTCTTCATATTTAGATATCAAATCCAAGACTTTCTTTTCGGCTATGATTAAAATATAAATTATTACAACCAGTACGACAATTCATGTTTAAAGTTTAAGAAAGTAGAACGAAGTAAAAGAACTTACATTTCTTTTTGAAAATAGGTTTTTGTCCAGATTTGATAGCATTCATTATTTCTCTCCTCTCTTGAATTTGCTTTTCTTTCTTCATGTTCATTCTCTGTTGTTCTTTTAATTGATTTTCTAATCGCTGAATAAGGTATTTGATCTTTTTGATTTCTTTTGGATCATCGGTCTTCTTCAACTCGGTTTTTAAAGTAGCTAAGTTGCTCTTTTTGATTTCGTTGACAAAACTATATGCATTTTTAAATGCTTTCTCGTTAAAGTTACCGGATAAACTGTCAAAACGTGGATCTCTAGGTATATTCTTTTTAACTTGTATTACTTCCCTAAGTCTAGGTACCTGCTTCTTCGTGGACATTTCTCTAGGTCTGTTCTTGTTTTCTCTTTTGAAAGGTACTATCTTTTTTTTCCGAGGACCAAATATTGTTTCATTGTACACCTTCGTGCCAAGTTTTTCTTTTAATTTTTGTAAATCCTCGAAACTCATATTAGCCAATTCTGCACGAATTTCTGCCTATGATTCATAAAATATTAAAAAAGAAGAAATTTATATGAAAATTAAATTCATGTAAATGGTAAATAGTAAATATAACCTCCAAAATTTCATTACAATTTTCTCTGATAAAAATAGGATAAAACAAACTTGAAAAATTATATAAAAATCAGCTCACCTGGTCCTTATCATGGTCCAGAAACGAATTTTCTTCAACACTCATTTTAAAAACAATTAAATTTAATAATAAACACTTGTAAAGTATAGGAAACAACCAATGCACGACCCACGTGCATGCCACGGTTCATGCCATAGAAATCTGTATTATCGACATGCAGTTGAATTGTTGTTGCAATTTTGTAAGTTGAAGCTGAATGCATTTAAGATGGTGTAGTATGTACCTTTTTAAGTTAAATCACAAGAAATGACTATACAAATTCAACATTTTTCCACTTATAGAAGATTGACTGATGTGAGCCAAAGAGTTAGGTATACATATAGAACACCCACATTTTTACATAACGTATGTACATACCATCGTAATAGGGTAGGTACACTATATAACACATCACATACACACACGAATGTTATATAATATTATGTACACTTTCTTTAAATATAAATGCATATAAAAAAAGTATTACCAAAACGGCAAATGCATAAAAGAACATTTTATGAATTATTATTATCTCATTGTCAGAGTTTGAAATTTTGGAAGTATTGTAAAACTTAAATGAATGTTTAGAAGCCATCGCAGAACTTTTTAAATAGTAAGTGAACAATTTAAAGTTCCTTCAGTAATCATCATGCTGAGGATAACAAATCTTAACTAGCATGAGTTACTGGTTGTAATTGATTCAATAATTTATTGACAATATTTATGTAATATGTGTTTAATTTATTGTCTAATTTTCATTATTGAATATTTATGTGATTGATGATTGAGGATATATTTAATTAAAAACAAATTACAATGCGATGAAATATCATAAAGTATTTATCAAAGTATCTTATTGTTAAAGATATATCTATATAAATGATCGAAAATTTTTAACTTGCATCAATCATTTTAATTTGTCAGATACGAATCGTGATAGGTACGTGTTTGATATTTATTTTAATAATTAACAATTAAAAAATTAGAATCGTTTAGGATGAAATTGAGAGTTATCGAGGTGAAATCTATATTTCAAGGCTAAATATGAGATTCGTAGATTAGTGTGTCAAACGAGCGAAAGCGAACGCGTTAATGAGAGAAACAGAGTGAAAGAGGGGAAGCGGAGGAAATTTTTAAAAAGTAGAACTCGAGAAAGCGAAAGTGTTTCAGATATGTCTCTTGCACGGACGACAAAATTATTGAAAGTGAAGTTTAAAGCTTTTGAAAACTGATCTCGCAGAATAAAAACTTTTATTCTGTACTCTTTTCTTTCGCGTCCCAATAATCGTTTTTTTTTTTAAGCAATAAACCTAGTACAATTGTGTTTCTTTAATTTTAAAAAAAGGAATAAACATTTGATTTATTTTTGTATTTTTCATCAACTTCAAAGACTTTATTTTTTAGCAAAAATGTAAATTTGGATCATTGAATGAATTATAAATCATAAAATAGTTTATTATGTAGGTAACAATGTATGAAATTTATTGATTAGTTCAGAATTCAGAGTAATAATAATGGAACGATTTGAATAAAAAATGAAAAATATAATAGGAAAACCAAGTTGTTATCAATTGTTAAGTCAAAACTTCTGATAAGCTGAAAACGATAACACTTAACATAATCAATAAAACTGGTACGATCGTCGATAGATTTCTCATTGTCAGATCGATTATAATATTCAATTCAGCCTGTCAAAATGAGTCTACAAAAATGTTCATTTTGTTTTTTAATTTTGTTTGTTACATTCTGTTATGGAAATTTAGAAGATTCCTGGATTACGTCCAAGTTGGATCAGTATAATTTGGAAAATTTTGGGTGAGATATTTATTTAAAAAAAAAAAGAAAAGCAATTGAATTTATTACTCATTTATTGTATCATTATTGTTTTAAATCATTTTCTTTTAGTCTAAGTCACAAATTTAAGTTAAAAAAGAAAAAAGAAAACCATCTCACCGAGAAAAAAAAAAATACAATAAATATTTATAGACAAATCTGTGATTTCTTTTTAAATCTAATTTTATTTTATTCAGACAAGATTCGGTGAACATAAACAAAATTATCGATCAAATCTTGCCGAAAATTCGTGAGATTTTAGTTTCTCAAGGCTTGGAACCGGTTATTCTTCCAAATGTTAATCAAGAAATTATATATCTCGTACGTAATCGTCCACAAAAATAAAATAAAAATGAAATAAATATTAGAAAATAAAAAAACGATAAATAACTATACATATAATACTATTCGTTCAACCGTTATTTTAGCCAGGTTCACTGAAAGCAAAGGTCACTCTTAGAAATGGATACTTACATTACATGACGGATATAAAACGATCAAGAAATGTAACGATGCAATATAAAAACAAGAATCTATTTTTTGATCTACCTTTAAGATGGCAATTGTTGAGTGTAAGAAAATTTTTTTGTTTTTTTTTTTCTTTCTCTCTAAATTATTATCATCCAAACACAACAAACTCAACAATTATTTTTTTTTGCAGATCAATTACGATTTTGATTTAACTCATTTATTTATTAAAGATCGAGGAGAATTTTACGGTCGTATCGACGATGCCGAATTTATAATTAAATTACAGATGAATCTTGAGAGTTACCAGATAATACTTCAAGAATTAAAAATCCACAGTATATAGTAATTATTATTTTACTAATACTTTTTGTTTTTTTTTTACTTTTCCGTTTAAGTCTTTTCATTGTTAATTATTCATATCCAGTTTTAAAGAGAACTTTGAGACAAACAATGCAAGAATCGATTAATAAAGTAGCAATCTATTTTTGATAAACACATTTAAGCGAATGATCGAAGATAAGATAAATATTATTTTTTTGTATTGTCACACACACATTTTCGTTTCTCTCTATGAACAAATTCATAATCGAACTGTTTGATCGAGTCGAAGATAAGATGAGGTTTTTGTTTGAAATTGAACGATAAGTGAAATCAAATTATTTCAAAACGATAAGTTATTATACATAAACCACTGAATTTTCTTTTTTTATATTTGACATCAAGAATCTTGCATTGCAACTGACATTTTCGAATTTCTTTTTTTTTTATTTGATAATATTTAAACGTTAATGTTTAATTGAAATTTAAGTTCATACAAGTGTGAAAATATCATTGGTTTTGTATTTTTTTACATTTTTTTAATTATTTATTCATTTTTTTTCAGCACGTTCAATGTGAAAATTCAAGGTAATCAATCAACTTCTATACTGAATATTTTGGCTAATGCGTTTACACGTTTTTTCCAAAATCGTATCGTAAATTTGATCCAAAATAGTAGCCAAGAACTTTTTTCGCCTCTTATTAATTCATTGAATCAAAAAATGAAAAAACCAAAAAATAAAATTAATAACTTAATCGATTCGCTATAAAAAAAAAAAAAAAAAAATAAAAGTAAGAAAGTAAGAAATAAAACAAGATAAAATGAACAAATGTAAATAGAGGTAAAACATAGTAATTTTGTATTATAGTCACGCGAACTTTCTGTGGTATCACTGAAAATAGAAATGAAATATAAATTTAACAGAATATGTGATCGATATCTAACTATGGTAATTAACTTAACGAACTGTTTTATATATATTTCAACATTTATAACCAACGATCAATTTTAATTACACGATCAATTTTGTTTCTTTTTTTTAATTTTAAAACAGTGCGCACGCAAAAATAAAAATTGTATTTATTATTTGCACCAAAATTCAATGATCCACATTTACCAATGATTAATAGAAATATTGATTGAATAAATAAAAGAGTTTTTCTTTTAACAATTTTCTTTTCTTTTTTTTTCATTTTAAGAAACCACTCAAACGAAAATGCAAATAGTATATTACATAATTTACAATGAAATCAAATCACGTAAGGATTTAGCGATAAAATATTCATGATATCAAGCTCGTCCTCGAAATATTGTTAGGAGAATAAACTAATATATTCATCCTAATATATCAGATAGATATGTATAAATCATATTATTATTTCTCATCACATTACGTTCACATATATAATCCCAGTTTGTGTTAACTAGTACGAGTTTAAAGTTACGCCCCCGATGTAATCCGGGAAACCTATCGTGTGTTGAATTTATAAAATTGTCATCTAAGTTCGTTATTCAAAGTCAATATGATTTTCTATCTAAACTTAGAAAATGATCTACACGATTGTCATAAATAATATCTTCAAGATATATCTCTAGATACACAATACAATATTTCATATTTAAACAAATTTTATAAAATTATGTTAGCGTATATAAATAACTTATGAAATATTATACGTGTAGATTTATTAAACCGGTTTTGATTTAATTTTTGATAATTGTGCTTTCAAACCTTGACGCGCGACTCAATATAGGCTCACGATTCACTTTTCTTTGATAAATTCTTACCTAAAGCGATCTTTTCAAATTGGTTTCTTATAGTCATCAATCGTCAACTGATAGAAAAATCTACTAATATTAATAAACTAATGTATCACCATATAATTTTATAAGATTACCTAGAAAATCGATGTAAAAATGAACGTGTAATGGTATATCTTGAAATTATCCTTAACGTTCAGTGATGCAGAATTCAGAATCTAGTACATATGTATGTATATAATAGATATGTATATAGTAAGTACATATATATCTATACACGAAAGCAGTCTGGTGCAACGATGATTGGACAATCTGCATAGAGATAGCTCCATGAAAATCCATGAACGTCCGGTGCTCGAGGGATTTTCCCGAAACGAACGGTAATCTTGTTTATAGGAAGTATGCTGATCGATAGAATCTACGGATATTCTACATAGTTAAAGTAACTCGGCCGTGAAGGTGGACCATTTTCTGTTTTTTTTTTTTTTTATATATATATATATTTTGTATTTATGTATTATTTTATATTTTTAACATCATACAAACCGGATTTGTAAAAGTTCTTAATTAAATCAAATAGCCATTTTCGAGTGCAAATATTTTCACGTTAGGCGGGGGTAGGTGGAAAATAAAATAAATGTATTGAAACTGTTGAAGCATGAAACTGAAACGGGGGTGTAGATTCGAGGTAGGACTCGGGGATTTGCGAAATGAAAAGGATTTATTTGTTTTTAAACCAGTGAATATATTCTGATACACATACTTTTTGAATTAACACGCCACAGGAATTTTTATTCGTTCGATTTTGATTGAAAAAGATACGTTTATTTATTTGTAAATAGGATTGTTAAAATGAATATTTTAAATACAGATAGGGTGGTTGATCGATTAACATAAAGCTTGGAACGATTCGTGCGTGTTCTATTAACTCGTAAGTACTTTGGTAGATATAGAAACATGTTTATATTCGTTTGACACGAAGTTCTATTAATTACATCGTAATTAAGTACTCCAGGAAACGTGAGCTAACTCTGGTTGGGTGAAAGGAAAAATCGATATACAACTGATTCCAACGAGCTGTTGTAGTTTGTGTAGGTACAATCCCGAGTGTGGTTTAGACATACATAATCAAATATATCAACATCATTATTTAGATAGAACATATTCGGATATAAATTTACTAATTTTTACTTAAAACAAATCATTAAATTAATTCGAAATAAATAACAAAAATTACACGTTAACTATACACATACATATATACACGCACACACACAGATGTATCTCAATTATTGAAATAATTCCAATATCAATAAATAAAAGTAGAAATGTAATTGGAGAAAAATAGTAGGAATGTTATAGTTTGTCTATAAATTCTCGTATTTTTTGCTTGGCATGATTACATTTCACGTAATCGATCGTGGCTAATACGCAAGCAGACAAGAGTAAACAAGCATCGCATGTACGTCTGTCTCTTCGTGCACAATAGAAACCCCATTGTTAGAGTATATTATCGATCCTGATATACCTGCATGCCTAAGGACTCTGTAACGCATAGCATGCATTTGGGAGGATATTAACTATTCACTGGATGTTCTTACGAAAGTGCAGGGACAATCATGGTTATTAAAAGGGACATTGATAAATGTTCTTTTAGACTTCTATTTTTTGTTCTTACTTTATTTATATCACACACACACACGTATACACACATTTTATTTTCTCCTGTTACGTTACTAAGTTCTTCAAAATATTAATTTGTTAAATTATTTCGTATATTATATTTAGTTATATAATTTCTTTTAATTTTTATTAACTTTAATTCATTATCACATAACAGATTTTGGAATATAGAGTTAGTATAAACTTAAATAAATATTTAAAACACGTATATCACTTATTTCCATTCGGATGAAACATAAAAGCAAATCCACACACGCATAGACATAAGCATACACACGCATGTTATCTTTATGAAAGGTGAAATAGAAAAACTACATAAACATAGTAAACGATGATACCTCGATAAAAGTTCTCTCGTCTAGTTTTTTCTTTTTTTTATTTAGATAGCAGCCTATTCGTCCCGTTGCATCGTATTTTTATTTCTTTTTTTTTTTTTTGCTTCTCTCCTTATATTTTCTTTTTCCTTCTTTTCTTTTATCTTCCGTTTCCGTTGACTGTACGGCTTTTGAATCGAGGAAAAATCTCGGAGCACAGGACGTTATTAGTTGCGAACCTTTCAAAAGAGGGAAACGTGAGGGATTTTCATCTCTCTCTTTGTATTTGCCGACTATGCACGAATTCAGATATGAGACGCGCGTCAGGAGATTACTAGAAGTTAGGTTTGATTATTATGGTAGTACATAGATAACGTATATATGGGGATAGATGCGTATACACACAAATACCCACCAGCATAAACGTTTCAAAGATACATTTAAAATTTATCTTCATTTAACTTATCCATTATAGATATTCCACTTATACACAAATTAATAATATAAATAAATATATAAATAAATTATTTATGTTTTTGTCTTTTTTACTATTTCATAGACACTTTTATATAATTAATGTCGTTTCTGCGCCCATGTCAATATTTGTTTATCATTTATCAACTCATTGTATACTTTAAAACCGTGTTTGAATTGAATGTAAAAAAACGATATTACTTTCCGGTTCACTTAATATTATCGAGTATCCTGCTTTGGTGTACATTTAGAGAAACAAGAAATCAATAGAAAAATGAACAAATATACAGGGTGAGTCGGGATAAATCATTACATCTATCTCTTATGGGACCGAGTCTTTTTTTTCTCTAGCGTTCATTCAAGTTATTCTAAAAAAAAAGTTTGTCTGGAGGGAAGAAAAATAGGTGTAAACTTTGTTGACATAGGATAGTACATTTACTTTAAAATAAAGATAAGACATTTTTCTTTTTGAAACTTATGTCTGGAGTTAGCATTTATATACATAGAGATATATATCCAGGTATATAAGTATCCATAGGTTTCTCATTCTTGTCCATCTAAAGAACAGGACAAAATAGGACAGAATAGGACAGGACAGAACAGGACAAAATAGGACAGAATAGGACAGGACAGAACAGGACAAAATAGGACAGAATAGGACAGGACAGAACAGGATAGAACAAGACAGGACAGTTCAGGACAGAATAAAACTGGACAGGATAGGTCAGAACAGGACAGAACAGGATAGGACAGGTATCGAGCGGGTTACCTAGGGTTGAGGATTAGAAGTTTGCTGTAGAGAATGGTAAAAAAGAACGTTGAAGCGTATCGAAACACCGAATCGAGCCGAGCCGTGCCGAGCGAGTACCGACGTGTGTTTCTGGGGAAAGAGAGAGAGAGAGCTACCACGTTTTACGGGACTACTTTTGTACAGCGGAGAAAACAAAATAGAAAGAAAAGAAAAGAAAAGAAAAAAGAGGAAAAAAAAGGTGGTATAGGAGGGTAGGAATTTACCATAGCTCCGTTCACGTAAGACGAATTCTCTTGAGGGAACAAAAAATTTATTATTCGACCTATCGTGAAAAGGAGATAAAATGTGTAAACAAATAACAATGATGATGAAATAGTTAAGTAGGATGATATTTGAAAGGACTTTCGATTCGGATGGATGTATATCGTTGTCGGTTAGAGGAGGAGGAGGAGGAGGAGGAAGAGGACTCGAGGAGGCAAGTCGGTTCGATGTTGGAGGAGTGACGAAGCCGAGCGAAGCCGATTTGAGCCGAAGAAGGTGCGATGTCCGTTTCGAAGCGGATTCGAGAGGCTAGCATGATTCGTTGTCGTAGAGAAACATAATATATCGGGGAGGAGGAGGAGGAGAAGGAAGAAGAGTAAGAGTAAGAGGGGGTGTTGACGAAGAAAAGAGGAGGAGTAGCATGACGTGGAGGAGGAGGAGGAGGAGGAGGAAAAGGTGGAATTGGAAGGGTCGACGGAAGGAGGAAAAGAAGGAAGGATCGTAATAATGAGGAGCCCCGAGAAAAGAGACTACGAAAAGGGTGCGGGAGAAGGTTGGTTGTTTGGTTGGTTGGTTGGTTGAAAGGAAGGAAGGAAGGAAGGAAGGAAGGAAGGAAAGAAAAGAAAAGGAGAGGGTCTTTTCTCGGGAAACGATCAGTCAGTGTAGTGGTCCAACGAGAAGGACGAGGACCCGTCCTTGGTGTTTGTTGGTCGAGGTGTATTCATTGAGAGAGGGTAGATTCTTCACTGTCCAATACTGTACAATAACAATACAACACACAACCAAACAACAACGATAGCCACATCTAAAGCGACGCAACTACGACGAAGAGGAGGATCGTTCGAAGAAAGGAAGAGAGAGAGAGAGAGAGAGAGAGAGGAAGAGGAGAATAATAAGTGGTGTGGTGTGGTGAGGCGAGGCGAAGCGGGGCGAAGAAATTAAGAGGAGAAAAGAGTTGGACAGTAGTAAGGAAAGAGTCTCGAGCGTGTGTGTAGAGAAGAGAGAGAGAGAAAGAGATAGAGAGAGACCGAATCGAGCCGGGCCGAACCGAGCCGCGCCGAGAGTAGCGTAAAGGCCAAGTCGAGCCGTGCCGAGCTGAGCCGAGCTGAGCCGAAGGTTATATACCGGTGTCAGGCTGCATGAGCAGGCGCGCGCGTCCTATCCTCTTGCGCGCGTCCAGCCGAGCGAGCAAGTAAGCAAGCAAGCAAATAAGCAAGCAAGCAAGCAAGTGAACGAACAAGAGTGTAAAGGAGCGTAATCATTGACCACAGCAAGTCTATCCAAGATCGTAAGAGGAGGACGTAATCGAGAAACAGATATATAGAAAGAAAGAAAACGAACAAGAAGGTGGGAGGAAGGCAGGCAAACAGAGATAAGAATTGGAATAAGTAGAAGAAGCAGTAGCGTGATCTCTTTCTCGTAGAAGTTGTGTGCGCGTCTGATCGCGGCTGATTCGCGCGCGCGCGCTCCTAGCCGGCCGTGTATGGACGTCGTCACGCATGGTGCACGCACCGAGGAGGACAAGGCTCAAGCCCTGGAATCCGGCTCTCGTTTACGTTCCTCTGCACGTCTTGGTTATCTCAACTCTTCTTCGGCGGCTAATTTATCTTCATCTTCTGCGACGATTACAGCAGCAGGAACAGGAACAGGAGGAACAACAGGGAACACTACTAACACTACTACAACCACCACCGCTACCACTACTGCCACTACCACCTGCCGAACATCAGGTAAACGTAAAAGAAAGAGGAAGAGGCGTCAACAACGAACCAGCAACACCAACGACAACGATAATAACGAAAACAACGACGTTGACGAAGCCGACGGTCTTCAAACCGTCCTTGAATCCTCATCTTCCTCGGTATCCCGTACTCACACCAATTTGTCTATCCCTATCGAGGATAATCTTTTATCATCGCCTAGTGGAAATAACACAAACACCGGTGGTGGTGGTGGTGGTGGTGGTCCAAGTGCAACAACCACTGCTGGATCTTCTTCGATTGGTAGAAGAAACGACGAAGGAACATCCCGCCATCGACACAACCATAACAACAACAACAACAACAACAATAGTTGTAGTAGTAACCACCACCGTCAGCAGCAACGATCCGAGAATAACGACGATAATACGGCTACTGGCGGTGGTGGTGGTGGTAGTAGTAGTGGAACCCGTGGCGAAGTTGAAGAAGAATACAACAATAACAATCACCATCACGAGGAAGAAGAAGAAGACGAGGAATTGGTGGGCGGGGAAAGATCGAACGAGAGGAATCATCGAAATACAGGAAACGGCTCATCCCCGAACACTACTACTACTGCTACTACTAATACCACTACTACGACAACGACACTGCGTAACGGTGGAAATAACAGCAACACTCGTGCATCAGCTTCTTCAACTGCTGCTACTACTGCTTCTGCTGCTGCTGATTCTGCGGCCGCATCTTCTTCTTCTTCCGTACCTTCTCTCGCCGACATCACGTTTCTCAATCGAAGAACGGCCAAACGATCGGCCAGGAGATGTAACAACGCGAGCGGTCGCAGGAACGCGATGACGATGGATCTCCAGAGGCTGATCAATGAAGTGCACGCTAGACCGGCTATCTGGGATCAGAAGAACGTTAACTATCACAATCGCGACGTCATACTGAAGATGTGGCGGGAGATCGCGAGAGCCTGCGAAGTTTCCAGTGAGTACTACGAAAGAGAATGAGAAAGAGAGAGATAGAGAGAGAGAAATATATATAACACATGCTTTCATGCAAGAATCCAAGAGTGAGAAAGATGAATGGTATATGGTATGTTCGTGTACACTCTTTGAGTATATATACGTGTGCTTCTGGCTCTGTGTGGTATGTGTATATGTGGATTCAGGTAAAGGAAAGGATAAGGGTTAAGATTTAACAACATAGAGGACGCTCGTATACGTACAACTTAAAAGAACGAATTGAACGGTTCCTCTATTCTTACTTTTCTCTAACGAGCGGGAAATTCAAATGTCTAGACTATCTTTTATCTCTCTCTCTCTCTCTCTCTCTCTCCTACTCATTCTCGATCGTTTCGATTCATCGTAGATAAAAGTATGCGGGGGTGGTATCGTTTGTATCGACACGGAGATGTTGTTCACTGTTGAATTCATGCGCTAGATACTTTGAGATTTGTGTTGGTAGATGGCACTGAGATTCATTAATGAATCGACTCGATTTTTTACGCACGATATTACCTTTTTTTTTTTAAATATTTTTGCTCAACTTTTAAAAATTATTTTCTGTGTCAAAGGTTATTCTCGCAATCTTTGGCTTGATATTCAGTAGCATATTCATTTTTTCTTTTTAAATAGGTTCAGAGAAATCGATATATACATAGGTACGAGCAAAAATATTTATTCTATATTTAGAATTTTTTAATTGCATTATCAAAGCATATCATTAATATTGAAGTTGACAAATGAGAACGTTCATATGTAAATTCGTTTATTTTCTGAAAATAATTTAGAAATATGTAGGTATGTATATTTTAGTTCGTTTAAGAATAGAAATGATTTAACGAGAAGTTTGCTCTCTTGTTCCTCTTACAAATAAATAATAATCGTACTCGAATTTATGATTGAACTTTACCTTAGTCGTTTAAAATAAATAAGTAAGTATATATATCAAACAGCAACGATCAGTTTCAAGTGAGACAAACTGCTCGATAAAATGACGAAACGAGCGACCTAGTAGTTGTAATCTTTTAAAAGGCCAATTCGATAAGAAACCATGCTCGTATTTTTTAATCCATTTGCATCAGAAAACAAAAACGCGCAAAAATTAATGAAACAACAACGTCTTTATCATCGATCATTTTTCAATAATTTGTACAAATATCTTACGTAAAAGTTCAGTGCATTTAAAAATCAATAATTTTTGCTTTCTCAATTGAATTCAGTATTGTCAGCATCGATTATTATAATTAGAATTATTATTTTCATCATTGATAGCACTCACCATTATTTTTCTAAAAGATGAAAATTAACAATGTACTGTTCTATTAAAAAACAACTATCAAAACGTGAGCTTAATAAATTATGTAATAATGCAAATGAATTGAACAATGCTTGCGTTCGTAATTAAAAAAAAAAAAAATAAAACAGTTTTAAACTATATAGTCAAATTTTGTTTTAGCCGACGTCGCGAAATCGAAATGGAAACATCTAAGAGACAACTTTAGGAACGAATTGAAGAAGACTTATCGTGGAAAATGTGATGGGAGTTTAGGTGGTGGTAGCGAGCACGATTCCAAGTGGGTATGGTTTAGGAGTTTATTCTTTTTGAGGGACCAAATGAATTCTCGGGTTATTGGATGTGCCCTAAATCAAAATTGTGCGGCATTACGTTCATCTCCCGATGGTACGCAGATCGAACCACAAATAGACATACTTGAGGGTCACGAGGAAACCCAATTTGACGATCTCGATGGTGACTCTTGTCAATCTTTGTTATCAAATGATGATGGTCTGCATCACGTGATGCCACCACCTAAAATGAATAAAATAGGAAGGAAAAGAATTCTTATGGAAGCTATGGACAATGATTATCCTGAAATGGATAGGAAAAGGTATGACGTATTGCAAAAAAGATTGATTCTCAATCAGGAGGAGGAAGATGACACTTATCACTTTTTAATGAGCGTTAAAAATCCATTGAAAAGTCTTCCCCTCGATAGACAAATGTTTGTCAGGTTAAAAATCCAAGAAATTGTTTACAACGAGATCAATTCGCAAAACCATCAAATACGTAGCTACGATAATTCGCAAGACGTTAAACCATTGAAATCTCAGAACGATAATGGTAACGAAAGTACCGGTAATAATGGAAATAACGGTGATGTTGTCAGCGATATGTCGAATCCAGCATCGTTACTACAAAATTGCGCTACCGAGGGTTCCAGTGACGACGCTTTCTTCGGTTAAAAATTTATTTATATGTTTATGTTATTGAACTTTGTAAGAACAATAATTTTATTAATAGAGAATAAATGAACGTATTTTTTCAACAAAAAAAAAAGCAACGTATACTATAAATATAAATAGATATTGAATAATGTGATAATGCATAATATATGAGGCCAAAGTTATTCAAACTTTACTAATTAAATAGTTGGGAATATATCGATTAAATTAAATATGCAGGTACATTGTTTTTAAACTGCTGTTTTTTTTTTTCTTTCTATTAAGTGAGCATATATTGAAAAATATATTCTACGATTTAAATATTATTATGCAGATTTTTTTTTCGCACATTCGTAAATATATAAAATTAATTATGAAAAAATATTTAATATATATTAAATATAGAGTAAATTATTTTTGGATAGTAAAATTGTCAAAAATGTAGTCAAACCATTTGGCCTCTCTGTGCAAAAGTTCAAATTTATTTTATTCTTCTTTTTTTTTTTTTTTCCAAATGAAGAAAACAGGACAAAAATGTTACAAGGAAATATTTGAACAAGACTTGTAAGTACTTACACGTGTAAGTATATGCATGTTACCTAGACGATATAATTAACGAGTTTTCTCTTCGCAAGAATCACGTACACGTTATCGTTAACCAACAACGTAACACGTCTCGCAATTACTTTTCATTCGCTAATTGGTTCGTCGTTACGTCTCAAGAGCATTTTTATCCTGCCCCTTTTCCCCACTACCTCAATATTTCCCTCTCTTCTTTCTAAGATCATAGTTTATGTTTTTTCAATTATGCAAATTAAATGGAATGTGAACTTGAATTTTTCGGTGCCAATTAAATGGTTCAAATTTTGCATGTCTTTTAATTATCATTATACTTATCCTAGTGTTTTGTTAGTAAAAAAATGACAAAATGTATTTTATTAGTTCAGCATGTTTGTTTAAGATAAATTAATTCTAACTAACTTATATATATATATTTCATTTTTCAATTTAAATGGAAACGTTTTGTTTTTGGGATGACAAATAGGTCTGGTTTTTTGTGTAGTCCTCCCCATGAGTATAGGCACCTTTTAATGAAACATCAGAATGTATGGCAGATGAAGCGTGTTATCTATTCCCTGACACACAGCAGCCAGAGCTTCAACTTGTCATTGTTTTCTCTTAGGCACCAGCTGCATTGCTTTCAGCCTTTCATACACTCCCCATCCCCCTTTCTCCTATTAAACATTGATACTTTTCCAGTCTCCTGAACACATCGAAGTGCTTCATTAAACTCAAATTACATTGAAGATATATTATACACGAGAAAACTAGATTTATTTATCTTATCTTTTTACGATCACACGCACTAATCCATGTTATGTTAGTCTTTCTACACTTTAAATCATCCATTTCTTTTAAAGTGTCTATTAAATAGATACAAGTTATCTTAATAGGTAATCTTTGAAACTAAACTGAAGTAGAAAACTAAACATAATTTATCCGTTTAGTTCAAATCGAATCGAAAGATAAGGTATATACATAATATGCTTATAGATGCACCGATGATATATTCTAAAGGTTTCTATATACCAAGTGTCCAAAAAAAAATTATAAAAAAAAAAAAGAAAAGAAAAATTAAAATTAAAACCAAACTTATATAAACCACCTGTTAATGAAAACGCTTATATATTATGTAGAATGTAGAAAATCGAAATCGTGATGTACCAGTGACACACCATAGAACGAAAAGCAAGCAGTAACGTTGAAGCAGAGACAAGTAGTGAACACCATTGTATGCCGTTACGACGTTAAACTCGTCGAGATAACGTCATTCGACAGCAGTTTGCACTAGTTCGAGGATACTATGTACACCAAACTTCAGCTTGTTATTATTATTATGCATCTACCTAGATACCTAGTACGTTTAACGAGCTAGTTATTGGACATCGAAGAGGCTTCTGTATATAGAACAGACAAGCTGTTTAAATTTCATTAAAATGAAACAATTTACCTGTTTGGTTATCGAGTTAATACTTGTTTTTTTTTTTAATATTCTTCGACAGATTTTTAAATACACATTAGATCGGTATTTGTAATGAAATATTTATAAATTTATATTATCATTATAAAATATTGTACATATCCGTGAATCAATTAATTAGACAACGTTTAAATTAGTGGCTCGAAATGTGATACGAAAAAAGAACACAAAATATGTGAATAATTATTTAATAAAATATCGATGTTAGAGCATTAATACGTAACTTGAAAGTAACGCTAATTCATAGATGCTGTGTGGGGGCTTCATTATCATTTAAAAAAATAGAAAAGTATGAATAATAATAGAGTGAGATAAAATAACGAAAATACAAAAATAGGAAGACAATGATATTAGAGAGTGAATCAATAATTCGTGCGTTTATTGCGTTACAAATTGCGTTATAAACTGCATAATGGATTGTTTTTTGTAATTTACATTGGAAATATTAATAAAAAAAAAAAAAGGAAACAAAACGTCACACGAACTTTTGATTCACCTTAATAGAAAAAGAAAATAGTGATGGGTAAAGTATAAGTCATGGAAATCAAATTCTGTGATATACTTAGAGATATCCTTTCATCGTTGATTTCATTCTCATTCATTCGGTCTATCTCTCTATTACTATCTCGGTCCTTAACAGTGAAATTCACGAAATAACGAGGTAACTTTTCGTTCGGGCAAAGCAACCGTGTCGTCTAGACGGGATGTACTATATTTGCACGGTATATTGCACCAGTTGAATACGTTATTCGAAAGTCTACCTCGGCAGTGTGCTCGACAGACCACTCGGTTTTCCATACAAAAGGGGATTAGCATCATCTTCTTTCCTTCTCTCTCTTTTTCTTTTTCTTATTTCTTATTTCTTATATCTTTTTCTTCCATCCATCTTCTTTCTCTCTTTCTTCTATCTTTAAAAAGCCATGGTGTTCTCTCGTTTTCTATTATTTTCTAACATCTTTTCCCCCGGTTGTTACTACTACTACTACTATTACTACTACTATTATTCCAAAGTGAAACCACTATGACGTCGTCGTGGTCTTATGGTTTCTTGCACGACGACAATACACGAACTTATTCTTCCACCCTTTTCTGTTATATTTGTTCGTATGTTTTTTTATGGGATGAAGAATAGACTTAAATAAAGATATAAAGTCTAATGTAAAAGATATACGCGAGAATTTTTGAGAACATTATTCAATTTGTTAATATTTTACACATCATAGATTGATGATTATTTTTAAATTAGTTTCTTTTTTTTTCTTTTTTTTTTTTTTTTTTTTTTTTTTTTTTTTTTTTTAAGAAACTTTTTGAACCGGTAGTATAATTTTATTAGTAATAGATTGAATTAGATTTAAAAAAAAAAAGAAAATATATAGGATTATAGTAGACGTGAATATGAATATAAAATTTTAAAATCACTTTACCACGGTAGAAGGTTAACGGAATAATTTGAAGTAAGTGGCAGAAGTCGAGTTAAGTGAATTTAATTATTCCTTATGCTTTTAGTTTTACTTCCTAAGATCTCACATATAAGATAAGATAAGATATAATATTTTTCCATAAAACTTTTTCAAATTAACGAAATATTGTAGTTTAAGATAATAGGTAATACAGTTTAAAAGTCAATTTAAATCTTACTTATACTTTTCGTATTACGTTAATGATATATATCGATGATATGATAAAATATATATTATTTTGTTCGTTAAACTTTTCAAATTAAGAAAAATATATATATAATATAATTTCGAATAGAAAAAATAAAAAAGATAAACGCGTTAATACGAATTGTAATTATTTCTTATTCTTTTAAAATTTATTCCTTTTTTCTTTTTTTGCTGTTTTTTTCTTAACAGATTATACAAACGATTAGATCAATTTTTATACTTCTAATGTTCGTAGATTAAACGTAAAAAAATAATCGAGTGAATTTTGTTCATAAAATATGACGAATAGGGGGAATAGAAAAATTGAAAGAAAAATATCACGAAGGTGTTCAAATATAAATTTGATTATTTATTACGTTTTTAGTTTTCGTTGTACCAAGTTAGGACATACACACGCGCACATATTACATAGGATACACAGATAAGAGTTAAAGGAAACGTAATTTCGAAGAGGAGGCCTTTTCTTTTTCTTTCAAGAGTTAGCACGTGCCTTTCTTTGAAGTCGTATAGACGTTTTGCGGAATAGAAAACGCGTTTACCTTTTGTCTGGGAACATCGAAGTTTAGATATGTATGTAAATTTTTATATAAACATATATATATATATATATATGATACACACACATATATTTATATAAAAAGGTAGAAAAGTGAAAAAAAAAAAAAGAAAATTGTTGAGACAAATCGAGTGAGAGAGAAAATGAGAGAAACAGACAAAATAAATGTGGATACGTGTATGTATACGTGTACGTCTGTGTGTGTGGGAGTGAAAACTATGTGTTTATGTGTAAGAGAGAGAGAGAGAGAGAGAAAGAACAAGTGTACATCTGTGTGCACGTGCGAGAGACTTTCTTTGATCACGAAGTAAAATGCAATCACATCCTACCTCTTTTTAGATTTCAATCTTTTTTTTTTCTTTTTCTTCTCTTTTTTCGTCATTTTTATTTTTTCCCTTCCTTCGGCTTTTCTCTTTCTATCATTTTTTTTTTTTGTTCTTTTTCCTTTTTTCTTTCCTTTTCTTTTTTTTTTTTTCTTTTTTTTTTTTCTATATCCTCGAAGCATTTGCAAAGCTCCATAAAAGGGTTCATCCTCCGTAACCCGCGGCTTTACGTTCGATAACATCTATCTACAGGGTGTCTGGTAAATATCCGAACGAGTATGTCATTTATAATAAAATTCATGATATTATCGAAAGTTTGTTTTTGTTTCTCGTAATATAAACGAATTATTTTTTCTTCATATTACGATATAATAATAATATACGATAATTATTTATTACCATTCGCTTTTGAATACTTTTTCAATACTCATTCTATTAATTGTATTAAATATATTTATACATTATGTTCACACAGTTGCATGTTTTCAAAAGAAAGAGAGT